GCTCCTGCAGCCACAACTAGCCCGGTGACCTACACAGCTCCAGCAGCCACTACAAGCCCGACAGTTCCGGCCACCACTACAAGCCCCACCGCTGTGGCACCAGGCTCATCTCAAGCAATGGCCCCTATGTCATCCTCGGCTGCAGTGGCGGCGCCGATCCAGAGCATGCCAGCGACGACCACCCCGGTCACCACCTACACAGCTCCAGCCGCCACTACCAGCCCGGTCACCTACACAGTGCCGGCTGCCACCACGGCGCCTGCCACTACCGGCCCGGTCACCTATGGAGCTCCGGTTCCTGCCACGACTGGCCCAGTGACCTATGCATCTCCCGCACCTGCCAGCTATGGAGCTCCGGCACCTGCATACGGGTCACCTGTGCCTGCCTATGGAGCTCCGCCTGCCACCAGCCCAGTCGTCTCCTATGCGGCTCCGGCGCCTGCCACTACCGGCCCGATCACCTATGGAGCTCCGCCTGCCACTAGCCCGGTGGTGCCTTATGCAGCGCCGGCGCCTGCCTCCTACGCGGCTCCGCAGTCCTAAGATGAGGCATGTGTTCAAGCAATGCATGGGGAGAGAGAGAGAGAGAGAGAGAGGGGATTGAAACATGTTGGCTGGAACATTGAGTGATTGCAATGTGCCAAGAGAAGCCAAGGCTCCAAGCATGGTGTCGTCCTCAGACTGGCAAGCTCGGGCCCGATTGCTTATGCTTGTACCCCTCATCCGTAAACCCCGACCCCTGGTGGTGGTTTGAGAGTCTTTGGTCAGGTTGAGGAGCTTGATTTTGAAGTGGTTATGTGGTTTAGGGTTTAGGGTTTAGGGTTTTGCCCCAGAGACATCCAGAGACTGAGGCTTGTGAAGATCATGTCCGTAGGAGTGAGGGCCTTTAGACATGTAGAATACCACATTCTTGAGCTTATCAGGTTCAATAGTTGACTCACGGTTTGACATCATGAGCGGCCGTGCAACGCGCAGCACGGTGCAGCCAGGCTTTTGTTGTATGGGTCTGAGTAAACAACCATGAGATTAAAATCGCGAGCCGAACTTGTCAATGCCATGCCGTTCATACTGTGCAGTAGAGCCTCCCCTTCCAAGGACCAATTCGCCCGTTTGGATGTCAACAATGATGGCACGCTTTCCCGCGAGGAGTTTGCAAAGCTCATGGGCCAGGTGGCAGACCAACAAAATCCTTGTTGGCTTTTTCTTGGGCTATCGGGCTTTGAATCTTGCCACATGTCGTCAAGTAGGCTACTATATTGAGACAAAACCGGCTTGTTCTTGTCCATGTTGGGCTAGGTTTTTTCGTGCTCTTGGTCCTGCAGAGGTGGCCCCTGCCGGACCTGGCTCTCCCAAGCAGCCGGCCCCAGCACCTGCTGTGTACGCAGCCCCAGCACCAGGCACCACACCGGCCCCAGCGCCATCGAATGCCGTGTACGCAGCACCTGCACCAGGCACAACGCCGGCCCCTGGCCCAGCGCCGTCGAACGCTGTGTACGCAGCCCCAGCGCCAAGCCCAACGCCGGCCCCTGGCCCGGCGCCATCGAACGCTGTGTACGCAGCCCCAGCACCAGGCACAACGCCGGCCGCTGGCCCGACCCCATCGAACGCTGTGTACGCAGCCCCAGCACCAGGCACAACCCCTAGCCCAGCACCATCGAACGCTGTGTACGCAGCCCCAGCACCGGGCACCACACCAGCCCCTGGCCCAGCGCCGTCGAATGCTGTGTACGCAGCCCCAGCGCCAGGCACAACGCCGGCCCCTGGCCCCGCACCATCGAACGCTGTGTACGCAGCCCCAGCGCCAGGCACGACACCGGCTCCAGCACCATCAAATGCTGTGTATGCAGCTCCGGCACCGAGCTCAACACCGACCCCCGCGCCGGCACCAGCACAGCCCATGACCTATGCTGCACCAGCCCCTGCGCCGGGCCAGCAGCCCATGACGTACGCTGCTCCAGCTCCTGCACCTGTGCAATATGCTGCCCCGGGTCCTGCGCAGCCCATGCCCTATGCTGCCCCAGCGCCTGCACCGATGTATGCGCCGGCCACATACACGACGACACCAGCACCTGCCACCTCCACTGTGGCACCAGGCTCATCTCAAGCAGTGGCACCCATGACATCCTCGGCCGCAGTGGCAGCACCGATCCAGAGCATGCCCGCCACGACCAGCCCCGTCGCCAGCCCGGTCACTACCAGCCCGGTCACCTACACCGCCCCGGCCGCCACGACCAGCCCGGTCACCACCTACACAGCGCCGGCAGCCACCACTAGCCCTGCAGTGACGTATGCAGCTCCAGCGCCTGCCACTACCGGTCCGGTCACCTATGGAGCTCCGGTTCCTGCCACTACTGGCCCGGTGACTTACGGAACTCCGAGCCCGGTGACCTACACAGCTCCAGCACCGGCCACGACCGGCCCGGTCACCTATGGAGCTCCGGTGCCTGCCACTACTGGCCCGGTGACCTACGCAGCCCCGGGGCCTGCCACTACCAGCCCAGTGACCTACGCAGCTCCGGCGCCTGGCACCGCTGACCCCTATGGAGCTCCGGTCAGCTACGGTGCTCCTGCACAGAGCTATTCCTATCCTGCGAACGCGACGCCGCAGCCAGTGTCCTACGACGCGTACCCGGCACAGCCTTCTCAGGGCTACTCTTATCCGACCTACACGGCGCAGCCTCAGTACACTTACGCGACCGCTCCTGGGCAGACAAACGCAGGCGTCCGGGCCTCAGGCCAACAAGACCTGCGAACAGCTCGGCGCTACTCCCTCGGTGTTTCTGCAGTTCGGGGTGTTGTGTTGATGCTGTCGAAGTTCAATCTCCAAGGACCTCTTTACCCGCCTGGATGCGGATGGCAGTGGCAATATCTCGCCTGAGGAGTTTGCGAAGTACATGCAGATGCAGGGCCAGGTGGCAGCGCTGCTTTGTCTTTAGGTGAGGTATGGGCATCGCAAGGGGAGTCCAGATGCGTCCAGCTTCAGCATGAAAGCTTGCAACTAGGGTTCACGTTGTCATAGTTCATCTTTCTCCCCTATCGTTCAGCGTGGAACTTTCCCAGGTCTGGTGCTCGTAGCGCCTCGGCCCATGGCCTATAGGCTTCCCACGTAAGAATTGAAGGGCAAGTTGAGGTCTCAGGGCTCCATCTTAGGGTTTAGGGTTTAGGGTTTAGGAAGGCCCCCAGCCTTGAACATCTCCGAAGCTCTGACCTGGTACCTAATCCACCAGCCCCCAGCAAGTGTCTCGGAGCTCCCATGAGCAAGAGCGATCGCCCGAAGCCATCACCCTAAACTCTAAACCCTAAACCCCCCCCTAAACCCTAAACCGGCTTTCGGCAGAACACGACCTGCCCGGCCTGCGGCAACACATACATGGACGACTCGCTGTTCTGCCGCAAGTGCGGCCGCAAGCGTGACGAGGTGCGGTCCATTGCTGTGGTGGTGGTTGCGGTGGTGGTGGTGGTGGTGGTGGTGGTGGTGGGGGTGGCGGTGGGGGTGGCGGTGGGTGCGGGGGTGGCTGGTCGTCGTCGTCGAGATTTTAATTGAAAATTGTGATCGAAATCCAGTGTCATCCCCCTTTAGAACCGGAACCCTTGGTTTAGGGTTTAGGGTTCAGGGTTTAGGGTTTAGGGTTTAGGAACCCTTTTCAGGACTGCTAGTATAAGGGTTAAACCTCCCAAGATATCAGCCGCAGCGCGCTCTTTGAGATGCCTTGGGCAGGCCTAGATGCCGGCGCCGAAGCCCCAGAGCAGCCATGTTCTGTTCCCAAGTCTTGTTCCCTAAGCCCCAAACCCTAAGCCTAAACCCTAAACCCTAAATCCTAGGCACTTAAGGGGCTTGTAAGTGGGTTATAAGTATAGTTAGAATTAGTTGCTGAGTACCATGAACCTCCAAGTAGGCCAGGGGTGTCGAACCTCGGCGTTTCAGGAGGTGCGTGGCCGGAGTCCGGTGCGTAGGAAGTCGGATGTTTTGAAAACCCGGAACCCCAACACTCCCTAAACCCTAAACCCTAAACCCTAAACCCTAAACCCCAAACCCTAAACCCAAAACCCTAAACCCTAAGCCCAAAACCCAAGACCCTAAACCCTAAATCCTCAACCCTAAGCCCCATGCTGGCGGAGATCCAACCAGTGCAAGACCACTGCACTCACGCAAAGAAGCGACTATAGGAATGGGTACCTATCACCCAAGAAGTGTTGGAGGAGTTAAGGTTTAGAGTTTGGGTTTTAGGGCTTATCCTTACACCGCTGGGCATCCAGAGCAAAATTTGCACGCGTTTGAAAAATCAGCTCTTCCACGATGGGTTTAGGGTATAGGTTTAGGGTTTAGGGTTTAGGGTTTAGGGTTTAGGGTTTAGGGTTTGGGGCAAAGGGTTCTGCTATACCTAATTCCTGAACTCCCTCTCTGAGAGTGTTGGGGGCTCATACCTCCAGGTTTCTGGGGGTTTCTTGGGGTTTAGTGTTCAGTGGTCAAGCTACGGGCAGCATGCTTAGCGGGTTAGGCCTGAGGGCCTTTTGGGTTACCAGGGTACTTGGAGGTTCATGGTACCTGTTTACCAATCATAACTGTACTTATAATTGTACTTATAACCATATTACTTAAGGGGTAAGTGGGTTATAAGTACAGTTATATTTGGATTGGACAACAAGTACCATGAACCTCCAAGTACGGGTCTTGAGACGCCACAGGGCCCTTCGCCCTAAACCCTAAACCCTAAACCCTAAACCCTAAGCCCTAAACCCTAAACCCCAAAACCCTAAACCACAAACCTTAAACCCTAAACCCTAAACCCTAAACCCTAAACCCTAAACCCTAAACCCGAATGTTCGAATCCTGCGCCGAGGACGTGCGGATTCCTTGGAAAAGGGCGTGTGCGCATCCCAGATTTTCTAGGGATCCAAGGAGCAGGTTAAACCCTAAACCCTAAACCCTAAACCCTTAACCCTATACCCTAAACCCTAAACCCCAAACCCCAAACCCTAAACCCTGTTGACGAGTTGATTTGTGGGCTCCTCAACCTCAAGCAATTTGATTCAAAGCTTTCGGCGGCAGGGAGGTTGAAGGCGCGGCCCGGGCGGCCGCTTTCACCCGAAGCTCAGGGGCTACTTGGAGGCTCATGGTATTTCCAAACCCAAAATTATCTGTTCTTATGACCGAAATAGAACCAGATTAGGGCACTTAAGGGGCTTATAAGTGGGCTACAAGTACAGGGTTATAAGTGCAGTTAGTATTGGGCTACAAGTACCATGAGCCTCCAAGCAGAGGGTGCAGGAGTCCCATTGATTCCACCTTCTCTCTCCCAGACTTGAAGTGCGAATGCACCTTGGGGCATATAGGAGGTACCCTTTCTAAGGGCGCATACTAAGGGACCATGTATCTACCCTAAACCCTAAACCCTAAACCCCAAACCTTAAGCCCTAAACCCTAAACCTTAAACCCCAAACCCTAAACCCTAAACCCAAAACCCTAAACCCTAAAACCCTAAAACCCTAAACCCTAAGTCCGAGGTGTGATGCCAGTGCCACGAGTGGTCCTCCAGCCGCAAACGCGAGGAGGTGTGGCCTAACGTGGTGGCGGCGGCGGGGTGGGGCCTGAAGGGATGGTCTGCTGCCGTGTAGGGTTTAGGGTTTAGGGTTTAGGGTTTAGGGTTTAGGGTTTAGGGTTTAGGGTTTAGGGTTTGGGGTTTAGGGTTTAGGGTTTAGCCCTTCGTTCCTGGCCAGTCGAGCCCCCAACTATCCAGAGCTTCGGCAGTTCAGGGTTTAAGAATCTAGGGTTGGGGGTGGAGTCCAGGGCAGGTTGCCGGAACTCGCGCTGAGAGAAGTGACCCCGCGCAGGTACCGATATGTCCTCGGATGATGACACCGCTTTCATGGTCCTGAGTGCTGGTCTGGTCGGGGTCCTGGGGTTTAGGGTTAGGGTTTAGGGTGTAGGGTTTCGGGTTTAGGGTTGAGGGTTTAGGGTTTAGGGTGCAGGATTGTCTGGGTTCGCTCGAAATCAGGTTTGGGGTGAACAGCAGCCGAGGTTCAGATGGATGTGTGTACAGGGGATCCATCGCCTAAGGTGACATACTAGGATGCCCAGTAGTACCCTTATTCCCTTTTTGGGGGGGTTTAGGTTCCCTTATAAACCCCTTTAAGCAAAAAAAGGGCACCCTTTTTAAGCCTAGGTTACTGGGCAGCCTAGCATTTGCTAGCTGGGTCTTTGAGGTGGCCGCTGCGAGGAGGTGACTCTACGGGTAACTTCGTTTGCCGGATTTGGGTCTTAGAGTGGCCTTGTTTGAGACATGTTCTTTGGGATGTTTCCCTTCTACTAGCAGTCCTGAATAGGGATGATGACTTGGGGGTATTCTTAAATATTGTTAAGGACTGTTAGTATAGGGGGGTACATCCCAAGATGTTCTCAGGCGGTGAGCTAATCGCACGCCAGAGAAGTTGACAGTCACGCTGCGCCTGTTGTACATGGGGAGGAAAGTTCCAACTTATATCAAAGCGAAGACCACGGGATCTAGAGTAGAACCCAGGGAGAATGCTAAAGGGAAAGCATACTCCTGGACATCGCGGGAGATGTCGCGAGTTGCCTTCATGAGCTTGGTTCCTCCCTGCCAGCGTTTCAGCCTGTCCTTACTTGCTATATCCCCCTTGGGAATTAGTTCTTTTGTTTATTTAATGGCTACCGCCAGTGCCGCCGACCCCAGATCTAAGAGAGTCTTGCTGATGGCACGCTGAAGGCCCTAAACCCAAAACCTTACAACCTCAATGCCGAAACCCGGAACCCCGAAACCTAAACTTACAACCCTTACACCCTGAAACCCTAAACCCTAAACGTCCAAGAAAACCCTAAACCCTAAGCTCATAGGAGCCATCGGTCCATGGGGGCCATGGAGGTCGAAGGGATGGGTCCATGGGGGCCATGGGGGTCGAGGGCCATGGAGGGCGGGTGGAGCGGGGGAAGGGCGGAGCAAGCGGAGCGGGCGGAGCGGGCGGGCACGCACTGGGGCCCTTTAAAGTCATTTGATTGGGTCTAGAGGCATAGGGCCAGGGGACCATGGGGCCATGGGGCCAGGAGCCACAAAGTAGGGGGTTGGCCGTCGAAGCATGGAGACAGCCATGGAGGGCGGGTGGAGCGGGAAGGGCGGAGCAAGCGGAGCGGGCGGAGCGGGCGGGCATGCGCTGGGGCCCTTTAAAGTCATTTGATTGGGTCTAGAGGCATAGGGCCAGGGGACCATGGGGCCATGGGGCCAGGAGCCACAAAGCCGTCGAAGCATGGAAACATTGGGGGCCATGGGGCCATGGAGGCACCATGGAGGCATGGGTCCATGGGGGCCATGGGGTCGAGGGCCATGGAGGGCGGGTGGAGCGGGAAGGGCCAGCATGGAGGTCTGGAAGGTAGTATAAAAAGCAGTGGGTCTTCACTGACGCCGCCCCCGGCTGGGGTCGGCGGATATAGAACATAGATTTGTGAAAGGTTTGACGGAATACTGACCCCAACCAGGCCCGTCGTGTCGTAACTTGCGCCTGGTGTTGATTTCCCCGGCACGTTCAGTAGGTCGTGTGCGGTTTAGGCTTCTGCAAGAACATTGAACCCTAGGCTTACAAGATTCCGTGGGCTTGTGTTGTGATCTTCGATGGAAGGCTCCAGGTTCAAGGCTGCGGGGACTGGGGGGGTGTTTTTTTTTGTTCTCCTTCCGTCTTGGCAGATCATGGTACCCCCTAGCATCATCCCTATTCCTAGCTGTTAGAATATGGGGGAGAGATTTTCGAGGCTGCCCTTCGCCCGAAGTCTCTCGCCTTGAGCCCTAAACCCTAAACCGTAAACCCTAAACCCTAAACCCTAAACCCTAAACCCTAAACCCTAAACCCTAAACCCTAAACCCTAAACCCTAAACCCTAAACCCTAAACCCTAAACCCTCAACCCTCAACCCTAAACCCTAAACCCTAAACCCTGCCGAACTCCCAGGTTCCCAGTTTTTTCCTCTGAGCCAGGGCCATGACAGGCGAGTGTCCTTCCGATGAGGCTGAAGGTTTTGTGTTACAGAATGCCACCTTCGCGAACTGCGAACTGGTGAGGGGCAGAGCAGCCTCAAGCTCAGCATGAAGGGGTGATTATGATTTGTTTACCCTAAACCCTAAACCCTAAACCCTAAACCCTAAACCCTAAACCCTAAACCCTAAACCCTAAACCCTAAACCCTAAACCCTAACTTATCCTTTGTTACTTTTGTGTGTGTTTGTGTCCCTCACCTTTTCGATCCATTTTGCATATACTAGCCTGTATGCGGGCAGAAAAGGAGCTTCTCCATTCACGTTTGTATCTCACCTGAAGCCGCCACCCTAAACCCTAAACCCTTTTAAACCCTAAACCCTAAACCCTTTAAACCCCTACGACTTCCAAAGGCCCTGAGAGCGTGCTAGCGCTGAAGCCAAGAGCCCGGCCCAAACCCAAAACCCCAGGTCCCCTCAAAAGCAACTGAGGTCCTTTCTAGGCTTCGCAGCAAAACTAGGACCTTCAAGGGGTTAGATGGTGGGAGGAGTGTGTACGGTAAGCCCTCAACACCTAGGCTGCACAAACCTGCTACTTATGTCCAAGAGGGCCTCACAGGTTTGAGTCTCGTTTCTTGGGGGGCTGAATATGGTGTAGCTGCAAGTGCACTTGTTGTGCTGGTAAGAGCTTTGGCCCAAACGCGAGCTGTACGACCACCCTGCCGCGTGGAGGACTGCGGCGGCGCTCATGCCTGTAAAGGGCGAAGCCGTATGCCGTGGCGAGCGAACGTCCGGTTCTTGCGGTTTAGGGTTTAGGGTTTCGGGTTTAGGGTTTCGGGTTTAGGGTTTAGGGTTTCGGGTTTAGGGTTTCGGGTTTAGGGTTTAGGGTTTAGGGCTTGGGTCCTACGTGGGGCTTCTCTGCAAAGTGCCAGGACTTCCGGGATGGCCTCCACGGTCGGGGGCCCAGGTTAGGGGGGGGTTTCCGAAGATAGGGGTACCCATCTTTTAGGGTTTAGGGTTTGGGGTTTAGGGTTTAGGGTTTCAAGGTCTGGAGTTTAGGGTTTCAGGGCCTCAAGGCCTGGGGGTGGGTGGGTGTTATATCAGTGCCGGAAATGCAACTTTACCAAAAAACTGCTCGATCCGGAGCTGCTGAACCCTCAACCCTAAACCGTAAACCCTAAACCCTAAACCCTAAACGCTAAACCCTAAACCCTAAACCCTAAAGCCTAAAGCCTAAACCGTAAACCCTAAACCCGAAACTAAACCCTAAACCCTAAACCCGAAACCCTAAACTCGAAAAGCCTAAACCCTCAAAACTCTAAACCCTAAAAGCCCTAAACCCTAAACCCTAAACCCTAAACCCAAAAATCGTGATTCCTCGTCGATTATGGCGCCCTAGCTCAGAGGGCGTACCGCTGATGTTGATCTTCCGACGAGCAGGGAACCCCGACTCCCCGCTGTCTGGAACCTGAACCCTCAACCCACCTTTTAGGGGTTTAGGGTTTAGGGTTTTTAGGGTTTGGGGGAACCTTCAAGGACATGTTTGCCAGCCTGGATGCCGATGGCAGCGGCAGCATCTCCCGCGAAGAGTTTGCGAAGCTCATGCAGCAGATGCAGGGCCAGGCGCAGAAGCACCGAACTCTACCTGGAGGTTCAGGGTACTTAGGAACGAGTTATAGCTGTACTTATAACTGTACTTAGAACCATATTAGGGCACTTAAGGGGCTTATAAGTGGGTAATAAGTAGCTTAAGATCATCTGGTGCTCTCTGGGCCATGGCTAAGGATTTGCATGAAGGGGTTCGGGATAGTGAGAGTCTTGGCTTCAAGGACAGGGCCCCGGGGTTTAGGGTTTAGGGTTTAGGGTTCCCATTTCCAGCTAAGAAAGGCAAGTTCAGCTGTGAGCTGTGAACCCAAAGCCGGCAGCTGCCCCTGGAACAGCTCTACAGTAGCTTAGGGTTTAGGGTTTAGGGTTTAGGGTTTAGGGTTTAGGGTCAGCTGTCCCTGGAACAGAACACCACCTGCCCGGCGTGCGGCAACGTGTACTTGGACGACTCGCTGTTCTGCCGGAAGTGCGGCCACAAACGCGACCAGGCGCGGACCGAGGTGGTGGCGGAGTAGGCGTACTTATAACCATATTCGGGCACTTAAGGGGCTTATAAGTGGGTTATAAGTACAGCTAGAATTAGTTGCTAAGTACCCCTAAACCCTAAACCCTAAACCCTAAACCCTAAAACCTAAACCCTAAACCCTAAACCCTAAACCCTAAACCCTAAACCCTAAACCCTAAAGCCTAAGCCCCTAAGTTCCACGAACCTCCAGTAGTAGGCCACGGACGATTGGAGTTTTATTCCCTGCGCTTGCAGCAAGTTTGGCGGGGGCCGGGTCTGCGCAAACATCCAGCTTGGCCTGGGGTTTAGGGTTTAGGGTTTGGGGTTGGGGTTTAGGGTTTAGGGTTTAGGGTTTAGGGTTTAGGGTGAAACTCTACCACTGGCGCAGCAGCTTGAGTTGAAAGCCCTTCGGCTCTGTGCCTTGGGGGTCTGGGATTGTGGGGTTTGCTCGTGACATTTTTGTGTGGGAGTCATGTGTTTGGGGTGCCCGCCTGCTCTTTTGCCTCGTGAATGATCATGAGTTTAAGGATGAAAGGTGCGCAAAGACGTGCCAGAGCTTTGTGTCCAGGCCCCTGGGGCGTACGCCGGTGCTCCGGGCGCCGTTCCCTATGGCGCTCCGGTCACCTACGGAGCTCCTGCGCCTGGCGCCAGCCCTTACGGAGCTCCGGTCAGCTACGGTGCTCCTGCGCCTGCCACATATGGGGCTCCGGCACCTGGCTACGGAGCTCCGGTGACCTACGGAGCTCCGGCGCCTGCCACGGCCAGCCCGGTGACCTACGCGGCTCCGGCGCCTGGCACAACCAGCCCCTATGGAGCTGCTGCACCTGCCACCACTGGCCCGGTGGTGACATACGCCGCTCCTGCGCCTGCCACCTATGGAGCTCCGATGACTGCACCAGTCACGTATGCAGCCCCTGCGCCTGGTACCACCGGGTCAAGCACTGCCAGCCCTTATGCTGCTCCAGTGTCCTACGGAGCTCCAGCCCCGGTCACCTATGCGGCTCCGGCGCCTGGCGGAGCTCCTGCCACCACCGGCCCGGTGACCTACGGAGCTCCTGCGCCTGCCACCTACGGCGCTCCGGCCCCGGTGACTTATGCGGCTCCGGCGCCTGGCCCTGTTACCTACGGAGCTCCAGTGCCTGCCTACACAGCTCCGGCCGCCACAACCAGCCCTGTGACCTACACGGCTCCTGCAGCCACAACTAGCCCGGTGACCTACACAGCTCCAGCCGCCACTACAAGCCCGACAGTTCCGGCCACCACTACAAGCCCCACCGCTGTGGCACCAGGCTCATCTCAAGCAATGGCCCCTATGTCATCCTCGGCTGCAGTGGCGGCGCCGATCCAGAGCATGCCAGCGACGACCACCCCGGTCACCACCTACACAGCTCCAGCCGCCACTACCAGCCCGGTTACCTACACAGTGCCGGCTGCCACCACGGCGCCTGCCACTACCGGCCCGGTCACCTATGGAGCGCCGGTTCCTGCCACGACTGGCCCAGTGACTTATGGAGCTCCGGTTCCCGCCACCGGCACCAGCCCTTACGGAGCTCCGGTCAGCTACGGTGCTCCGGCACCGAGCACCACCAGCCCTTATGGAGCCCCGGTCTCCTACGGAGCTCCGGTGCCTGCCACGAGCCCGGTCGTCACCTACGCAGCCCCAGCGCCTGCCCCTGCCGGCCCGGTCACCTACGCGGCTCCGGCGCCTGCCACGAGCCCGGTTGTCCCATACGCAGCCCCGGCGCCTGCCACCTACGGGGCTCCGGCGCGGCCCTCAGATGAGTCATCGAGATTTCGAGGGAATCATGGCAGTGCAGAGCAAGAGGCCCGAAGCCCGAAACCCTAAACCCTAAACCCTAAACCCGAAACCCTAAACCCTAAACCCTAAACTCTAAACCCTGAACCGTTTGAGGAATTGCCCGTCGCAATGCGCATAGATCATTAGGTGAGTCGCTTCGTTCGCTCTGAGGCTCCATACATGGCGCCATCCTCAGACTGGATTGAGGGTTTAGGGTTTAGGTTTTAGGATTTGGGTTTAGGGTCAACAACTCCGAGCCCGAATCGGGAGTGGCCGAGAGTTTGGGGTTTCAGATTCAGGACTTTGGCTTTTGAAGTGGCTGCGTCGTCCGAAAGGGTGGGTGCGTGGGACGCACATCGGGCAGTCAACCTGCCTCCGAAGCCTTAGAATCTACCCTAAACCCTCAACCCTAAACCCTAAACCCTAAACCCTAAACCCTTAACCCTAAACCCCAAGCCCTAAACCCTAACAGGGGCCCCGCAACCTTCCAACGATCCTTGAGCATGTGAGCTTCGATCGTTTGCTGTCATGCCACTGTGCAAGACTCATGTTGTACTTGCTGCGTAACCCCTGCCAGCTAGATGATCACGAAGCCACTCTGCCTATGAGCTGCAACTAGGGAATGAGCAATCAAGCCGCAACTCCCCACCTGACAACTTGCCAACGCCCTGCTGTTCACTCCGCCATCCTGCATCGCAGAACTTCCACGGAGGGCGCGTTTTCCTGCTATTTTGTGTTGCGCCTCCCCCGTTCTTCTTCTTCTTCTTCTTCTTCTTCTTCTTCTTCTTCTTCTTCTTACTCTTCTTCTTCTTCTTCTTCTTCTTCTTCTTTATTTTTAGTTTTCTTCTCCATCTTCTTCTTTTTGCTTCATGCCCAGATCAGAACTTGCCTTAAAAGCATCGGAATCCTTTCCAAACTTGTCCTGCGAGCATTGTGTTTGCAACTGGGGAAGAGAACTTCCATGAGAAGCAGAAGAATCCTTTCCAAACCCGTCCCGCGGGCGTTGTGCTTTGTTGTGTTTGCAGCTGGGGGGGAGCTCTTTCTTGATTCATGCCCACAAGAGAAGTTGCATTAGAAGCATAGGTGCATTAGAAGCATAGCAATCCTTTCCCATCCCTTCCTTCGAGCATTGTGTCGATGAATTAGAAGCATAGGATTCTTCATAGCATTAAGAAGAACCCCAAAAATCAGTCGGAATCCTATTAACATAACATACAGACGGAAGAGAGGTTCCTAGGCAAAGCCAAGGACACTGACCAACAAACATCGCAAAAGCAGGAAATCGCGAAAAATGACTCCACCCGTTTTCCTGTGGCGATATACCCCGACTAAACGTGGAGATTGTGTGTGAAAGGTCTTGACAGTTAAACGGCCTCCCGAGCAAAAGACGAGGAGCGACACAAACCCCCACCCAACTTCAGCCCTCCCAGGACCAATTCGCCCGCCTGGACGTGAACAGTGATGGCACGCTATCCCGCGAGGAGTTTGCGAAGCTCATGGGCCAGGTGGCGGATGCTGGAAAGCTTAAGCCTAAGCCAAGCCCCTCAACCTTAAGCCCACAATCGTCTGGAAGTTGGTTCAGGGTTACAGGATGTCATAGCTGGTTTCGGACGTCTCGCCAGAATTTGAGAAGATCGAATGGAAGCATGGCTTCTCAACACACCCTGTGGTGAAAAAGGGCTTCAGGTCGAGGACTTCTGACATGGCAGCAGTTCATCACTCCGCCCTAGAGGTGGTGCAATTCTTGAGTGGTTTTGTTCCTCAGCTCGGCATGGACCTGCAAGGTGGCACCCGGACCTGGCTCTTCTGTGCAGTACGCGCAGCCACAGCCAGCTTATGGTTCCTCGGTGGCGGGTCCCTCGATGGCTATGCCGGGCCCTGCTCCAGCGCCAGGCCCTGCTCCAGCGCCGTCGAACGCTGTGTACGCAGCCCCAGCACCAGGCACGACCCCTGGCCCAGCGCCGTCGAACGCTGTGTATGCAGCCCCAGCGCCGGCCCCTGGCCCGGCGCCATCGAACGCTGTGTACGCTGCCCCAGCACCAGGCACAACACCGGCCCCTGGCCCGGCGCCATCGAACGCTGTGTACGCAGCACCTGCACCAGCCCCCGGCCCAGCGCCGTCGAACGCTGTGTACGCAGCACCTGCACCAGGCACAACACCGGCCCCTGGCCCAGCGCCGTCGAACGCTGTGTACGCCGCCCCAGCACCAGGCACAACACCGGCCCCTGCCCCAGCGTCGTCGAACGCTGTGTACGCAGCACCTGCACCCGCCCCCGGCCCAGCGCCGTCGAACGCTGTGTACGCAGCACCTGCACCAGGCACAACACCGGCCCCTGGCCCAGCGCCATCGAACGCTGTGTACGCCGCCCCAGCACCAGGCACAACGCCGGCCCCTGCCCCAGCGCCGTCGAACGCTGTGTATGCAGCCCCGGCACCAGCACCGACCCCCGCACCTGCGCAGCCCATGACCTACGCTGCACCAGGCCCTGCACCTGGCCCGCAGCCCATGACATATGCGGCCCCAGCGCCCGCACCCGCCCAGCCCATGACATATGCTCCCGCGCAGCCCATTCCCTATGCTTCCCCAGCACCCGCCACCTACACTGTGGCACCAGGCTCATCCCAAGCAGTGGCCCCCATGACATCCTCGGCTGCAGTGGCGGCACCGATTCAGAGCATGCCTGCCACGACCAGCCCTGTCGCAAGCCCGGTCACTACCAGCCCGGTCACCTACACAGCTCCGGCCGCCACGACCAGCCCGGTCACCACCTACACAGCGCCGGCTGCCACTACTAGCCCTGCGGTGACGTATGCAGCTCCTGCGCCTGCCACTACCGGTCCGGTCACCTATGGAGCTCCAGTGCCTGCCACCACTGGCCCGGTGACGTACGGAGCTCCCGTGCCTGCCACTACCAGCCCGGTCACCTACAGCACAGCACCAGCTCCCACCACCAGCCCGGCCACCTACACAGTGCCGGCTGCCACCACAAGCCCTGCGGTGACGTATGCAGCTCCGGCGCCTGCCACTACCGGTCCGGTTACCTATGGAGCTCCGGTGAGCTACGGAGCTCCGGCGCCAGCCACCTATGCGGCTCCGGCGCAGTCCTCAGATTCATAGATGAGTCATGAGTTCGCGGAGGGAGAGGGAGAGGGATAGGGAGAGGGAGAGGGAGAGGGAGAAAGAGAAAGAGAAAGAGACAGAGAAAGAGAAAGAGGAATAGAGAAAGAGATCGTTGAAACACCGAGCCATTGCATCTGCAGTGCATCGCAGATCCGTGGTTAGTGATGTTAGTTAGTGTCGTAGCCGGCTGCTCCGCAGATTCGCCGAGGCTCCATACATGGTGCCATCCTTAGACTGGACAGCTTAGCCCGATTGCCTCGTGATAACTCGTGGCTGAGAGTTTTGGGGTCAGGTTTCCGGACTTTGGTGTCGAAGTGGTTGTGCCGACGCTTTAGGGTTTAGGGTTTAGGGTTTAGGAGGCTTGTGAAGATGATGTCTTGAGCGCGGGCGTAAGACCTGTAGGTGCATCGGGATGCTTTGTGTCAACCTCAGTTTTGCAGGCTTCTGTTACAGGTCTCGAAGTCCCAGCCACCGAAACCACCAAGCCACTGTAGTTCTAAGCTGCAGGCTTGAAAAGCAACCCTCAACCCTAAACCCTAACTAAACCCTAAACCCTAAACCCGAAACCCGAAACCCGAAACCCTAAACCCTAAACCCTAAACCCTAAACCCTAAGCCCTAAGCCCTAAGCCCCAAGGACCAGTTCGCCCGCCTGGATGCGAACAATGATGGCACGCTGACCCCCGAGGAGTTTGCGCAGCTGATGGGCCAGGCGGACCCTGCAACTTCCACTGCCCTGAAACCCTTTGGGGTTTAGGGTTTAGGGTTTAGGCTTTGGTCCGTTTTAGCTATCGCCTTTGAAGGTCTTGTTGCGTGGGTGTGTTCGGGTGTTGTTAAACATATTCTGGACAGTCACCCGAGCTCTCCAAACATCTCTAGGCCAAACGCGGTTTAAGACTCCAGAATGTGGGAAGGATTGAATGGGCGAGGGTTGAGGGTTGAGGGTTGAGGGTTGAGGGTTTGGGGTTTAGGGGTTAGGGGTTAGGGTTTGGGTTTCTGAAAAAGACCCACTAAAAGGATTCGCAAACAAGTTGACTTTGTGTCTAGCGGTCAGACCATGAACTCTACATCCTGAAGTAAAGGAAAAGATAAGAGAGTTGAATGAACGGTTTAGGTTTTAGGGTTTAGGGTTTAGGGTTTAAGGTTTAGGGGTTAGGGCTTCGGAATCCCAAGCCTTTTTGAATGTGCTCACGCCTAAAAATAGAATTGTAAGGGCGCAATGAGCGAACGAATGTAGGGCGCACGACTTATTTTTTGAAAGGTGTGAAGGTAACACGAAGAGATTGAATGAACAAGCAATCGCATGAACTTCACGCACACGAAATGATTGAACGTATGAATTATCTGGGCCTCATAAGTACTACTTCATTATTGGCCCCTTTAATATGCTAATCTGCTAATTAAGTTCTCTTTCTTCTCCACCATTAAGGATTTCATGAACAGAAGGAAGTGACTGATTGGGCGAACAAAATGTTCTTAAGGGCTTTCGGCTAAACTCAAACGGAAACGTCAGAATTGTACTTTCGAGATTTTCGAGGCCCCTGGTGCGTACGCTGCCGACCCCTATGGGGCTCCAGTCACCTACGGAGCTCCAGCGCCTGCCTACGGGGCCCCGGTCAGCTACGGAGCTCCGGTGCCTGCCACCACCGGCCCGGTGACCTACGCACCCGCCGACGCCTATGGAGCTCCGGCGCCTGCGCCGGTCACCTACGCGGCTCCAGCGCCTGGCACCGCCGACCCCGCCGGAGCTCCGGTCAGCTACGGTGCTCCAGTCAGCTACGGTGCTCCGGTCAGCTACGGTGCTCCGGCGCCTGCCCCGGTCACTTATGGAGCTCCTGCTGCAACCGCCCCGGTCACCTACGCCGCTCCGGCGCCTGGCACCACCAGCCCCTACGGAGCGCCTCAGTACACGTACGCCGCCGCTCCC